TGATGATATCAAATATGTCATCTGCTCTGTGACTTCAGTTTTTCTTTGCTGAGTGCTCGGAAGGTAGTGGTGTGCAATTGCTGTTTACTAAAGGTACTCATTTGGGTTTCCAATGGTTTCCCTGGTCACTCCTCTTGCTTAATATCTTCATGATCATCTGGAGGTTTAGTGAGAAGCGTGGAATGAGTGTCTTCAGTACGTTGATGATGGAACTGTATAAAGCCATTTTGTAGGGTAAAGATCAGAGCTATCTGTCTGAGGCTCAGTCTGAGGTGAGAGCGATTGGGGGAAAGCAACTGGGAGAAATGATGCTGGGTTGTTTTGGTCTTTCTTTAAGTGTGCCTCTTCTTGTTTGTTGACCATTTTCACTATCTGGGGTCTAAAGTTGTGGCTGCTGCTGGCTGATCAGATAGCAGCCGCATGGTTCAGAAGCTGTTGCAGGTTCTTTTATGTGCAGACTTTCCAACTCTTAGCCGACCTTTGTCACTTCAAGATTGCACCGAGAGACTACTACTTATATCAATTTGGAAAATGCAGCTAATGCAGAATTCAGTGGCCTGCTTGTTAATTGTAGAATCATAGACTACTAGAACTGAAAGGGACCTTGAGAGGTCTTCAAGTCCAGTCCCCTGCCTTCACGACAGGACCAAGAACCATTCCTGATAAATGTTTGTTTAACCTGTTTAAGTATCTCTAATTATGGAGATTCCACAACCTCCATAGGCAATTTATTCCGGTGCTTCACCACCTCGACAGGAAGTTTTTCCTAATTTCCAACCTAAACCTGCCTTGCTGCAATTTAAGCCCATTACTTCCTGTCCTACCATCAGAGGTTAAGGAGAACAATTTTTGTCCCCCCTCCTTGTGATAGCCTCTTAGGTATTTGAAAGCTCATATCATGTCCCCTCTCAGTTTTCTGTTTTCCAAATTAAACAAACCCATTTCTTTCTGTCTTCCCTCATTGGTCATGTTTTCAACATATTTAATCATTTTTGTTGCTCTTCTCTGGACCCTCTCCAGTTTCTCTACATCTTTCTTGAAATGTGGTGGTCAGAACTGGACACAATACTCCAGCTGAGGCCTATTCAGCAGAGTAGAGCGGAAAAATTACTTCTCATGTTTTCCTCACAACACTCCTGTTAATGCATCCCAGAATAATGTTTGCCTATTTTTTTTTTAACGGTGTCGCACTATTGACTCATTTAGTTTGCAGTCTACTGTGTCCCCTAGATCCATTTTTGCAGTACTGCTTCCAAGATATTTTCATTCTATATGTGTGGAACTGATTGTTCCTTCCTAAGTGGAGTACTTTGCATTTCTCTTTATTAAACTTCACCCCAATTGCCTCAGACCATTTCTCTATTTTGTCCAAATAATTTTGAATTATAATCCTATCCTCCAGAGCACTTGCTGCCCCTCCCAGCTTGCAAACTTTGAGTGTGCTCTCTTTTCCATTGTATAAATCATTGATGAATATATTGAACAGAACTGGTCCCAAAACTGGCCCCTGTGGAATCCTACTTGTTATGCCCTTCCAGCATGACCGTGAGCCATTAATAACTACTTTCTGATTATGGTTATCCAACCAGTTATGCACCCACCTAGCCCCATCTTGGTTGTATTTCCCTAGTTTGTTAATGAGAAGGTCATGCAAGATGATAAAAATGCTTTACTAAAGTCTAGGTATACCATGTCTATTGTTCCCCCTTATCCACAAGGCTTGTTATACTTTCAGAGAAAGCTTTCAGATTGGTTTGATGTGATTTGTCCTTTACAAACCCATGCTGACTATTACCATTCACCTTATTATCTTCCTGATGTTTGCAGATGAATGTCTTAATTATTTGCTGCATTATCTTTCCTGGCACGGACCTTAGGTTGACTGGTCTGTTTTCCTGGGTTGTCTTTATTTCCTTTTTTATACAAGGGCCCTATATTTGCCCTTTTCCAATCTTCTGGAATCTCTTGCGTCTTCCATGTCTTCTCAAAGATGATGACTAGTGACTCAGATATCTCCTCATTTAGCTCCTTGAGTATTTCTAGGATGCATTTCCTCCGGTCCTGTTGACTTGAAGACATCTAATTTTTCTAAGTAATTTTAACATTTTTCCCCTTATTTTAACGTCTTAACCTATCCTATTACCGCTAGCATTCATCTGGTCACTGCCGACCTACCAACCTTCTTGGTGAAAACTGAAATAAAGAAGACATTAAGCACCTCTGCCATTTCCATGTTTTCTGTTGTTTCTTCCTCATCAATAAGTCGTTGGTCTTCCTCTTGTCTCTGTCTCTGGGATTGGAGCAAATCAGGTTATATTTTAGGACCTGATTGTAAACAATTGATCGTGTGATGTATCTTGGATGGAAACTAGAGGTATGTAGATATGAATAGTCTTCAATTGTTTTTCCTTTTATTCTTGCTTCCCATGGGATCTTATCTACTAGCTCTCCAAGTTTACTAAAGTTTACCACCTTAAAATCCATTGTCTTCATTTTGCTCTTCTCTTTGACCATTCCTTAGAATCACGAACTCTTATGATTTCATGATCACTTTCATTCAGGCTGTCTTTCATTTTCAAATTCTCAACTAGTTCTTTCCTAAGCAGTGGTTTTTTCCACATGCTTACCAATGCTGTGCTCTACAGTCTGCACTGCGCCTGCTTGTTAATTTCAGGATTGATTTCATGATGTCAATTGAGGTGGGACCTACTTGCTTAAAACCACCTCTTCCAGTACACTGTATGCTGCTGTTATCCAGTTTAT